TGAAGCAATCCCCAAGCAATCAGAGACTGTCTGCCCGTCACCAGTCTCTGCCCTCTTCATGCCTCTTCTTGTTCTGGGAGATCAGAGAGGATGGGAGCTGGTTGCAGGAGGAAGGGGAGACATCCGTGCCTCTTCACCAGCCAGATCCCTCTGCCTCTTGGCCTCCCTCCTCTCCTGCATCAGCTTCTGCCTCTGATTCTGGCCTTCTCTCTGTCACAGACTCTCCCAGCTCACTAAGCCCTGTTGCTCCTTCAGCTTCTGACACCTCCTCCCCGCAGTCTTCTCCCTCTGACCGCTCATCGTCATCCTACCAACATTCCCTGAGCTCTGAGACTTCTTCCCCTGGGGGTTCCCCAGCTGGTTCCTCCCACCATTCCTCTGTGTCCAACCAGTCCATGACACAGAGCCACGGAGCTCCCACAGAGTGGTGTTAGGCTGCCTTATCTTGAGACGTGACTATTTGATCCATCTAGGGATGGCTCAAATGCGGACCACCAGCAGCCCAGCCCAGCCGGCTTCCTCCCTGATCCTGCGATCTGGCAATGTTGTTGTTGTTTAGTCATTTAGTTGTGTCCGACTCTTCATGACTCCGTGGACCAGAGCACGCCAGGCACTCCTGTCTTCCACTGCCTCCCACAGCTTGGTCAAACTCATGCTGGTAGCTTCGAGAACACTGTCCAACCATCTCATCCTCTGTCATCCCCTTCTCCTTGTGCCCTCCATCTTTCCCAGCATCAGGGTCGTTTACAGGGGGTCTTCTCTTCTCATGAGGTGGCCAAAGTATTGGAGCCTCAGCTTCACGATCTGTCCTTCCAGTGAGCACTCAGGGCTGATTTCCTTAAGAATGGATAGGTTTGATCTTATTGCAGTCCATGGGACTCTCAAGAGTCTCCTCCAGCACCATAATTCAAAAGCATCTATTCTTCGGCGATCAGCCTTCTTTATGGTCCAGCTCTCACTTCCATACATCACTACTGTGATATAGTATAGCTTTAACTAAACGGACCTTTGTTGGCAAGGTGATGTCTCTGCTTTTTAAGCTGCTGATCTGGCAATGCCAGGGATCAAACCTGGGACCTGAGAGCCTGCTGGATCAGGCCAGTGGCCCAGCTAGTCCAGCATCCTGTACTCACAGTGGCCAACCAGATGCCTTTGCTGGGAAGCCTACAAGCAGGATTCGAGCACAAGAGCCCTCTCCCCTCTTGCGCCTTCCAGCAACTGGTTTTCAGAAGCATTGCTGCCTCCAACTACAGTCATCACAGCAGACAGTAATCGATTGCCTTCCCCTCCATGTACTTGTTCAATCCTCTTTTATAGCCATCCAAATTGCTGGCCATAGCTTGCCTCCTGTGGGAGGGAGTTCCGCAGTTGAACTATGCGCTGCACGAAGAAAACGGATAAACTATGCTGAGATGGTGAAACTTACAGGAAGAATTAGAAACCAGGAAGAGACTGACTTTAAGAAAGAATGGGGAAAGTTTATAATTTATTTTTAAAGATTACTGTAAACCATTACACACATTGGTAGGATGGGCGGAAATCTATGGAGTGATAAAGGATTTATAAAAACAGAGCTAAGGAAGAGATGCAGAGGGGGAAATCATTATATGAAGAGCCACGGTGGGAGGGCAGGGAAGTCAAAGGGGATTATATATTTATGTTGTTGTTGTTTTCTGCTTGTAAAAATGCAAAAATTAGATTTAAAAAGAAAGCGAAGGGTTTTCTTTTCTCTCTCCCGAATTTTCTTCCCCATCCAGGGATGGATGTTACCCAAAGTGTAGCTAGCGTACAGCACGAGGCATTGGGGAGTTTTTCTCCAGCAGCGTTTCAAGACAGATGCTATTATTTGTTGTCCCTGGAAGGGCTGGGAGCGAGCCTGCTCCGGACTGTGTTGCTGGGTGTGTTTATTAGCGCAGAGGAGGCGAGCGCTGTGGCGTCGTCTTTATTTTGATGAACGACACAATATCCAGAGATGCATTTCAGGGCTCATTTTTATTCCGATGCCGAGCTGAGATTGCCTTTGCAGACATGCTGAGCTGGTGTCTCTTGGATGTTGAAGGCAAGCTTAAGTAGCCCCGGGGGAATAAGAAGAAATAGACCCCAGCTAATGTCTAACACACACACACACACACACACACCACGTATCCCTGACGCCAGAACAACCAGCCAGCTTCACAGATGAGAGGAAAGGTTTTCCCAAACAGTGGTCCACAAACCACCAGTAGTTCGTGAGAGGCAGTTTGTGACCTCTAGCATGGCAATTCAGCTTTGTCATGGCCAAAGCATCCTGGGTCCCACCACTTCCTCGGTACCCTAACCCACCAGTTTTGTCTTCAGGTTTCCAGCAGCTGCGACTATGTCTTCGTGAGTGGCAAAGAATCGAGGGGCTCCATGAATGCTGGGGTGTCCTTCAGCTACGAGCACCTCACCGCCCTCCTGGAGATGACCGTCTGGGTCCCCAAACTCCCGCTGCACATCGAGCTCTCTGACTCCCGGCTCAGCCAGGTGAAAGGGTGGCGAGTTCCAATCTTACCCGATAGGAGGTAAGCCAGGAGTTGGGGAAGGAGTGGGGTGGTTGGAAATCCTCTCGGGGATTGTGTTTGAGAGCCTCTAGGCATGCACAGTGAAGACTAGTGGCCATTCTGGATCCCATTGCCCAGAAGCTTCAGCTCATGCCAGAATTCTCCTCTAGGTGCTCACCTCCTTAGAACACGCAAGGACATGCAACTCTCTTATTTGAGAAACCTATCTGCTACAAAAAGCACCATCCTTTTTCAGACATTAACTAATTTTAATAGCATGTTTTTTAACTGTTGTAGCCTACCATAGGCCCTCATGGTGAAGAAGAAATAATAATAATAATAATAATAATAATAATAATAATAATATGAAAATAATAAAAATGGGGTGGAAATATCCACCCATTTAGAGTGAGGGAAGGCAGCACAACCATCGCTCTGATTTGACTTTGCGATGTTATGTCACGTGAAATCCGATTGGCTACGTGGTGTCATTACGCCAGATGCACGATCCCTGATTGGCTGGTTAGTGGAGACTCCTTTTTAGGAAAAAACGCAGGGAAGCGCCAGAGCAGCTGCCAGCTGACCCAACTGCTTTGGCTCCCACAGGTCTGTCCGGGAGAGCGAGGATGATGAAGAGGAGGAAGAGCGGCGGCAGAGCCGGGGCTGCACCCTCCAGTACCAGCATGCCACCCTGCAGGTCTTCACCCAGTTCCACACCACCTCGTCGGAGGGCACGGACCAGGTGGTCACCATGCTGGGCCCAGAGTGGATGGTTGAGGTCACGGACCTGGTCAGCGACTTCATGAAGGTCGACGACCCTCGGGTGGCACACATGGTGGACACCAACACCCTCGCCGGCCGGGAACCTGGCACCACCCTCTTCAAGGTAAGAGCATAACAGGTACCCAGCAAGGAAAGGACCATAGCTCTGTTCTAGATCACATGCTTTTCATGCAGAAGGTTCCAGGTTCAATCCCTAGTGGCATCTCCAGGTAAGGCATTAGAGAGACTCTTTGCCTGAAAACCTGGAGAGTTGCTGCCAGTCAGTGTAGACTATACAGAGCTAGATGGACCAGTGGCTCCTATTTAAATAACCCCTTGATTGGGAACCATGAGGACTGGAATCTGAGCTTAATGGCGGAGCCTCTGCTTTGCAGGCAGAATGTCTTAAAGTTCCATTCCTAGAATTTCCTGGAAAGCCAATTCCATTCCATGTAGACAATACTGAGATGGACGAGCCAATCGTCAGTATAATGAATCTTCCTATGTTCCTCTTAAAATTAGCCCTTTATTTGGAATAGTGAGGACTAGAATCTTGGCTTGCTTTTAAGTAAAAATTCAGTGATGGAGAAAAGGTTCCAGGCTTAATCCACAATGGCAGCTATAGGTAAGGTTGGGGAAAAGACCTGGAGAGCTTCCACCAGTTAGATAGATAGACACAATTGCCTTGTTCTATATAAGGCAACATCCTATATTAAGGAGCAGGGGTTATCTGCCTCTGTTAGGGGTGGCAAAGAAGGTGCAGCTGTAAACATCAGTTTCCCCAACAATCTGAGCACCTTTAGATTTGCAGCTCCCCTCCCCTCCCCTGGCACTAGCTACTGCTCATATCGGAGACCCCTTTCTCACACATTCATAGAATTGTAGAGTTGAAGCGAACCCCCAAAGGTCATCCAGCCTCACGTAAAGGAGAGTCAACCACCTTCCACTGGAATCCATTCCATGGCCGAATGGCTAAGTTCCTCCTAAAATTTCATCAGAATCCCCTTTCTTGCCATTGAAAGTCATCATTTCGGGTCCTCCACTCTGAAGCAGCAGAAAGCAAGCTCCCTCCGTCTTCCATGTGACAGCTCTTCAGATTTTTGAAGGTGGCTGTTATCTCACCTCTCAGTCTCCTCCAGGCTAAGTATACCCAACTCCCTCAACAGAGGCCCTCTCTTCATTCTCGCTTCACACATCCCAGGGCTAAGAAAACAGATCTGTTTTCCTTGGTGGGAAGGGGGAAGGGGGGCTCATCTGCATTTTCCTGCCTCTACATTCCCCTTCCTCCTCAGCTGCACACCCCTACACCCCTTCTTCCTTCCTTTTTCTCCCTGAACCAGCTCCTCTTGAGCCTGTGCCAAGCATCTCTTAACTACAATTAGTTCCAAGCCTGGGCACTGTATTGCCTTCCTAAGCAGAAATTCCCAGGCTCCCAGATGCTGCCTTCAAAGATTCGAGCAGTTCAAGGTCGGAGTGTCTTCCCCCGGTGAAATGTACTTCGGAGAATTGTGTGTGTGTGTGTGTGTGTGTGTGTGTGTGTGTTTGCAGGGCGAGTGCATGAAGGGAAGGCCATGGAGTGGTGCTGTTCTCCGGCTTGGCTCAATAGCATCGCAGGCCTGGGATGGAAAGAGAGAAGCAATGCTTAGCTAGAGACCTCAGCAGGCAATTTCTCCATCAAGAATCACAGAATTGGAAGGGTCCACAAGGATCATCTTTCGCCCAGCGTGGGACTTGAACCCACAACCCTAAGATTAAGAGTCTCGTGCTCTACCAATTGAACTATCCTCTGGCTTTTTAAAAGGATCTCCCAGCTTGGGGTGTGGGTTGACACTTTTCCATTCCATGGCATTCATCCCTTTAATAGATATCGTCGTTTTTTTACACACAGCACACAGGGCTCATCCAGACTTCCTTTTTGAGCTTCGTTTCTAGGCGCCGGTCAAGGGCAGCCGCGCAGAGAGCGCACCACAGCAATCCACAAGGGTGATGCACAGTGTTAGAAACTCAGATATATAAGCTAGGCGCCAAACGGCTCATTAAACGAGGGTTACAATTACCAAAGCAGAAGGCCTGGTTGCCATTTGGGGGCAAGACGACTTTTGGGCTCCTGAAATTCGTTCTGATTGTGCAGACAAAATATACCTGATAGAATTCTGCAGGATGTGTTGCTAGTGTGCTCAGGGAAGTTTTTAATGTTTGATGTTTTATTGTGTTTTTAATATTTGTTGGAATCCGCCCAGAGTGGTAATAATAATAATAATAATAATAATAATAATAATAATAATAAATTTTTATTTATATCCCGCCCTCCCCAGCCGAAGCCGGGCTCAGGGCAGCTAACAACAATAAAATAATACAACATTCTAAAATCATTTCATTATAAAATTAATTCAAATCAAATTGATGGCAACCATTGGGCTAGAGTTCTGTGAAGATTGCCAAAGGAGGGAGTCAGGCTGTGCCCTGGCCAAAGGCCTGGTGGAACAGCTCTGACTTGCAGGCCCCGTGGAAAGATGTCAAATCCCGCAGGGCCCTAGTCTCTTGTGACAGAGCATTCCACCAGATCAGAGCCACAGCCGAAAAAGCCCTGGCTCTGATTGAGGCCAGCCTAACCTCTCTGTGGCCCGGGACCTCCAAGATGTTTTTGTTTGAAGATCATAAGTTCCTCTGTGGGACATACCAGGAGAGGCGGTCCCGTAGGTACGAGGGTCCTAGGCTGTATAGGGCTTTAAAGGTTAAAACCAGCACCTTAAACCTGACCCTGTACTCCACCGGGAGCCAGTGCAGCTGGTATAGCACTGGGTGAATGTGATCTCGCAGCGAGGACCCCGTAAGGAGTCTCGCCGTGGCATTCTGCACCCGCTGGAGTTTCTGGGTCTGTCTCAAGGGCTCAAGGAGCCCATAAGTTCTTGTTGTTGTTGGATCCCCAGGCATGCACCTCCAGGTGGTGGAGACGTCGGGCGCCATCCTGGCACCTGGGCATCTTCACTTGGCCGCATGTTGGCCAATAGCCAAGTGCAAAATGCACCTGGTGAATTTCCAGCCTTGGTGGCGATGAGGAATGTGACTGGGTGTTCCTCCTAATCCCAACCAGGGGAGATGTTACTTACGGCCCACTTCTCTTCCCGTAGGTGGTCTCTCCGCTCATGGAGGCGGTCCTTGGGGAGACCCTGGTGACGGTGGCGGACGAGAAGGTCAGCATCACCGAACTGAAGGCCCAGGTCATCTCAAACCTCTCCCTCTCCCTCCACCCCAGCCCTGGGAACAGCCACACCATCGTGGCCAAGACAACAGCCCAGCAGACTCTGAACTTCTCTAAGCAGGTACTTCTTCTGGGGCAGCCCTCATGGATTGGGGGCGGGGGAGGGGGTGGATTTAATTAATTAATTGTTTCATTCTTTCATTTAGAACCCACTTTTTCTCCAGGGAACTCTAGGGGCAGCCCACACTTTCCCCCCTCCCCGTTTTATCCTCACAACAACCCTGTGAGGTAGGTTCTGCGGAGCAGTAGTGACAGGCCCCAGGTCACCGGGTGGGTGGTCCTAGCCCCACACTCTAACCCAGGGGTCAGCAAACTTTTTCAGCAGGGGGCTGGTCCACTGCCCCTCAGGCCTCGTGGGGGGCCGGACTATATTTTGAAAAAAATAATAATGAACGAATTCCTATGCCCCACAAATAACCCAGAGATGCATTTTAAATAAAAGAACACATTCTACTCATGTAAAAACACGCTGATTCCTGGACCATCCGCGGGCCAGATTTAGAAGGCGATGGGGCCGCATCCGGCCCCATCCTTAGTTTGTCTGCCCATGCTCTAACCACTACACCACACTGCCTCTTGCTTGCCTTCTCTCACTGTAATCATTTCCTTAAGTTTACATGTTGTTGCTGCTGCCCAATATTTTTGCTAACCGTTCCTGCGCTATGGGTCTCTATTTCCCTCCCCCCCATTTGTCACAAAACGAGTGTCTGATCAGCTGCTATCAAATTCCATATTAAGTTTTTATGTTTTTCTCAAGGGTCTAAATCCCTTCTGAGACAATTATCAGAGCATCCAATGGCAACTCGTATGATATCTGTGGCGATACCATCTCTACTGTCTTGCCCTAAAAGATTATAGATAGATAGATGATAGATAGATTAGTTTTTATTCACTGTATTCATTTTCATCTTCAAACTGTTTAGCATGCCTGCACAGAGCTATATCTCTGTTTACATTAGAGCATATGGCACGCAACAATTACATAAAATTAAAAATAACCCAACAATAAACACTCAGATAATCATTTTATGAATATATTAGCAAAGTTGCGTCGGAAGTGCACATACCCAAATTACTGCAATTATTACAGATATGAAAATGAGCTATAGCAATGTGTAGATTGGTGAACATACATAACCCAAAAGATTTCAGTCATTGAACCGATCTACCGAATGTGTCCAAAACTTCCCATTGCAGAGAGGATAAATTTTACTTGAGCTCTGTGGAGTCATAGACCATTGAGAGAGCAGCTTGTAATGTTTTTCTGTAACGTTAACACAAAGAGTTCCTGCCGGATGAGGAATTAGAACCCCTATTATTTCCTTTTAAAGCTTGTACACAGATGCGATTTCAAAGTATTAAGGCAAAAAAGAATAGAACAACTGCTCAAGTTTCCCTTCTTATAAATTATTACCTCAGGACTTGACATTTTACCTCCAAACTCACACCATCTTATTCATCCGTTATATTTTATTCTACATAACTTATCCATTGTCTGCACTGAAAGCATCGCAGAACTAGGTCCATTTGAGGCCTTCCCACCATTGTTTTGAAATTGCCGTTATTTACAATTCCTTGATATGTAATTACATTGTGATTTACCCAGTTAGCAGTTTGGCCTCCTACTACCTTATTTATTTATTTTATATATTAAAAAATGTTTATAGACTGCTATTTCATTTTTCAAAAATTCAAAGTGGTTTGCAACAAAAATATATAAAAACATGTTTTTAAAAGGTTTTAAACAGACGTCAATTAAGCACTGAGGAAAGGTGTGTGCTCAGTTGCCTGCATAGGCCTGACAGAACAGAAAAGCTTTCACCAGAAGGTCTCTTTGTTTAAAAGAAAAGAAAAGATGTGAGCAAGGATATATTTAGGTGTTGACATTGTATTTAAGCTATTCCAAACATCTCAGGCTGCATCTGTACAAGGATTTTGTATTTGAATAAAAATCGGTTGTCACAGGATCCTAGAACCGTAGAGTTTGAAGAGACACCCAGGGGTCATTCAGTCCAACCCCCTGCAATGCAGGAATCTCAGCTAAAGCATCCATGACAGATGGTCCACCCAGCCTCTGCTTCAAAACCTCCATTGAAGAGTCCTTTCCCCCTCTCTGTAGTAACCATGGAATAACTGTGAGCTCTGCTTTCACTTACACCATGGAATTACCTTTGAGACATTCAGCCATTGGGCTATTACTTTTAGATGTGTAGCTTTATATTAATCTACTATATCGAGACATTTTATTCCTCCTTTGTTGTAGCTTGTCTCCAAGGTTGCCATGGGAACGCTAGCTTTTTCTTTTTTGCCACACAAAGTTTGTAAGTAGTTTTTGCTGGTTCAATCATACCCTTTTGTCACTCTTGGCCATTACGTTTTCAAATAGATAAAGTAGCCTAGGAATTTCTAATGCCGCAACGTTACATAACCATGTGAGTCCTGCCTGAGTCCATTTAAAAACTCTTTTCAACCTTCATAACTTTCATTTAATTTAAAATATATGGTTGAAGACAACCCAGTTCCTAGATACGTTATCAGCATAACTGCCCAATTAATTGCTCTCCAGTTCATCAAATTTGCTTTAATTGATTACAACACATTTATTTCAGGTTTGGATGAGCTCATTTTTGTAGCCAAACGACGTCGCCAAACTTCCCTGTTATTTCAAGGAATTTGTGGTGCAGATTTTAAGGGATGAGTTCAGGAAAGCATTACATCATCAATGTACAAACAGATTTTGGAACTCGTAGACTGAACCTTCATCCCCGTTGCATCTTCTGTTGATCTTATTAGGACTGCTAACAATTCAATACATATTAGAAAAAGGAAAGGGCAACAACTGCAGAGGGCAACAATTTGTGTCTGGCTCTTCTGTTTACATAAACTGTCCAGCAAAGGGCACCTAAAATGATTCAGGGGATGGAATAATAGAATCATAAAATTGTAGAGTTGGGAGGGACCCCTGAGGATCATCTAGTCTAACCCCTTGCAATGTAGGACTCTCAACTAAATCATCCATGAAAGATGGTCATCCAATCTCCATGGAATGAGAGTCCACAACTCAAAGGAGCCCATTCCACTGTCAGACAGCTCTTACTGTCAGGAAGTTCTTCCTGATGGAGCGGCTCCCTTATGAGGAAAGATTGCCACATTTGGGGTTTACTAGTTTAGAGAAAAGGAAAGGAAGAGGGAGCATGACAGAACTTTATACAGGTAGGCATGGCACAGAGAAAGAAGATAGTGAGAAGTTTTCCTCTCTCACTAAAACTTGTGGACATCCAACAGAGTTGAATGTTGGCAGATTCAGGACAGATAAGCGAAAGATAAACGTGGAACTGTGGAAATCACTCCCACAGGAGGCCACCAACCCTGATGGGTTTAAAACAGGATTGGACAAATTCATGGAGGGCTTTTGATGGCTGCCAGCCATGACAGCTGTGCTCTGCCTCCACAGTTGGAGGCAGCAATGCTTCTGAATGCCACAGGAGGGGAAAGGGCTCTTGTGATGAGGTCTTCCTTGCAGAGACAT